GGGGGGGGGGGTGGGGTGGATGGCCGTGTGCTGTTTTCAAGGTGGTTTCATCTGAGCTGCAGTATTCACTTGGCGTCACCACCACCACTTCCCTCCCTTCAGAGGAAGAGATGATGGAGGGGAGCAGAGGGGGGTCCTGGGTGGCAGCACTGCAGGGACAGAGGCCTGCAGGCTGGAGGTCAGGCCAAGTCAGGAAAGGGGAGGCTTTGAGCTGGGGAGAGGGGAGGGGGATGAGAAGCCAGCTCCCAGGCACAGGCACAAAAAGAGGACGTGAGCAAAACCTGAAAAATCCATGGCGTCAGCCATTCCTGTGGCTGCAAAACTCATTCCTGGCTTGGGCGTGCGGTGAACAGTCAGTGGGGGAGGCTCCCGTTCCTCCCTGGATGATCCAGGTAGACTCAAGAAGCGCCTGGTACGCATGCGCAGAGGGCCTGTGCCGGGAAGGCCACAGACAGGGGCCCGAGCCCCAACTCGCACCTGGAGGCCCAGAGATGGGCAGGAATGGGCCCAAGGCGCCTCAGGCCCGGCTGGGACAAAACTCAGATTAAACACACTGGTTTAGAGCACAGCTTCCCCTAAAGCCTCACAATTTAAAAACCAGATAATAATAGAATGACAGCTGCAGCTATTATTAACTGTGTCCTTACAGTGGGCTTGGCCCAGTGGCTAAAATCTCATTTAATCCTCAAACAGCCCACAGGTGGATACTATAGCATCCCCATTTTCTGGATGAGAAAATCGAGGCTCAGAGAGGGGAACTGGCTCACCTATGGTCTCACTGCTGGGAGGAGGCAGAGGTGGGAGCCAAACTCCTGCCAGACTGACCTCTGAGCCCTTCTACTTAGTGTGATGCCTTACTGTTTGGGGAGTGTGGCTTGAGACAAGCTCTTGTTCTGGTGGCCTTGTTCTGAGGCCGGCTCTGCCTCACTCCCCGCCCCCACGAGTACATGCTCCATCTGCTAACACCTGGGCCACCAGAAGGAACATGCCTACCCAGGAGAGGGCAGTTGAGTTGGAACCATGGTCCCCCAACTCTCAGATGAGTGTGCTGCTTTGGGGGACATCTCTAATAATCAGCGTCCGAACAACAGCTCTTGTTTCTTGAGCGTGCCCTGTGTGGGGAGGGTCCTGCCCATTTGCAGATGGGACACTGAGGTCCAGAAAGGGGCTGGGCCTTGGCTTGGCTTGTCACGTGGCCTGGGAGGCCAGAGCTGAAATTGGTACCCAGGCAGGCAGATCCTGGTCCCTGTGGGGTGGGAATGGGGGTCCTCCCCTGAGGCAGCCTGCACCCCTTTCCACGCAGGGACCTGGAATGGCACCACCAGGGTGGCCATCAAAACTCTGAAGCCCGGCACGATGTCTCCGGAGGCCTTCCTTCAGGAGGCCCAGGTCATGAAGAAACTGAGGCATGAGAAGCTGGTGCAGCTGTACGCGGTGGTGTCTGAGGAGCCCATCTACATCGTCACGGAGTACATGAGCAAGGGTGAGGCCTGTGTGATAGTGTGGACACATGGGTGACCCCTGGCTGGGGTCCTCACAAAAGGGCAGGTGGGATGTGCTTCACCTCCCACCACGTCTAGAGCATATGCCTTTAAAGCTGGAATGAATGGAAAGAATCAACTTCCCATGTCAATGGAAAGTTAAACCAAAGGTTGCCTTTCTCCGTTCATTTTGGTTTTAATGATTTCCCACGATGCATCTATGTCCCCCCATTTGCTGGTTTTGTAAAGCCATTTGCCATTCTGGGGCTGGAAGGAGAACTCCCTGAATCCTCCAAGCTGAGCCACAGCACATCTGGGTCAAGTTCCTGGCTTGACTTTTACTTAGTTTTGAAATTAATTATTTTTCAAAATTCCACTTTTTGGAGGTATAATTTACATGTGATAAAATACACCCATTTTAAGTGTCCAGTTCGGTGAGTTTTAACAAATGGGTATGCTGTGTATCTCTTATCACAACCGAGATACAGATCGCCGTCACCCCAGAAAGCACCCTTGTACCCCTTTGCAGATAGTACTCTCCAGCCCCAAACCCACAGAGCCATTGATGTGCATTCTGTCTTCACAGAGTTGTTTCTTCTAGAATTTCGTATAGGTAAATCTTTTACATCCGAGAATTTTCCTTCTTGTTGTGTGTATCAGTAGTTTGTTCCTTTTTGTTGCTGAGTAGTATTCCGTAGTATAGCTGTACCACAGTTCTGTTTGCCTAGAGGCGGACATTTGGTTGTTTCCCATCCTGCTTGCCTTTTGAGTGACAAACACAGACTTTATTCAGAGATGGGTTTGCACAAAATCTGCTGTGTGCTTAAAGTGAGGCCGGCCTGCCCCGGTGGACAAGATCTGGGAGTCACTGCTTCCTGGCTCAGGGAGGACAGGGCGGGGGCTAGAGCTGCTTTCTCTCTCTCCAGGGAGTTTGCTGGACTTTCTCAAGGGGGAGACGGGCAAGTACCTGCGGCTGCCTCAGCTGGTGGACATGGCTGCTCAGGTGAGCCAGCCCCTCCCCACTCCCACACCTGGCCTTGAGCTCTCTGACCCACCTGGTTCAGCCATGTCTGGCCTCTTGAGTGCCCCCTCCAAGGAACTTGTCTTGATTGCCCCACACTCACTGATCTCATCCCATGTATTACTGGGACCACTTACAGGGGCTGTGAGTGGTGGTTCGGGCAGAAGAAAGAGCCCTTACCTGGGCATCAGGAGTCACTGACTTGCTATGGGACCTCAGACCTCAGTGTTTTTCTCTGTCAACGTCAGTCACTCATCAAACATGTATTAGTACTTGCTTGCTGTAGGCAAGCAAGTCAACAACTACTTTTTTTTTTTTTTCTTTTGCGGTACGTGGGCCTCTCACTGTTGTGGCCTCTCCTGTTGCGGAGCACAGGCTCCGGACGCGCAGGCTCAGCGGCCAGGGCTCACAGGCCTAGCCGCTCCGCAGCATGTGGGATCTTCCCGGACAAGGGCACGAACCAGTGTCCCCTGCATCGGCAGGCGGACTCTCAACCACTGTGCCACCAGGGAAGCCCCAACAACTACTTTTTTTTTTTTTCTTTTGCGGTACGTGGGCCTCTCACTGTTGTGGCCTCTCCTGTTGCGGAGCACAGGCTCCGGACGCGCAGGCTCAGCGGCCAGGGCTCACAGGCCTAGCCGCTCCGCAGCATGTGGGATCTTCCCGGACAAGGGCACGAACCAGTGTCCCCTGCATCGGCAGGCGGACTCTCAACCACTGTGCCACCAGGGAAGCCCCAACAACTACTTTTTAATTTAATCCTTAATACAATCAGGTGGTAGAGATGGCTATAATTCCATTTGACAGATGAGAAAACTGAGGCTCAGGGAGGGGAGTTGGGACAACAGGCAGGACCTGACACTCATCTGTGTCTCTGGGAGCATGTGGGGCCTCTTTTGTGTGGTCACCCCACTTCCCTGGCTGCATCTTGTCTTGTGCCTCCCCTTTGTCCTTTGCCCTATGCTACCTCCTCCTGCTGGGCACTGGTCCTGCTTTTTGTGCCAACAGTATTTATTGTAAATTGACTTCATTGCCGGAAGAACTGGGAAGGGTGGGGCATTTGGTTGGCTATCCACTCCTGGGGATAACACCACCCCTGGGCATGTGCCCTGTGATCTGGGAAGGGCAAGGGGTGGCCCCTGAGCCAGGCTCCTGGGTTCTGCCTACAGATCGCTTCAGGCATGGCGTACGTGGAGCGGATGAACTATGTCCACCGAGACCTCCGTGCTGCCAACATCCTGGTTGGAGAAAGCCTCGTGTGCAAAGTGGCTGACTTTGGGCTGGCTCGGCTCATCGAAGACAATGAGTACACAGCCCGGCAAGGTGGGCAGAGGCTCCCGGCAGATGCCGTGTGGCCGTGGGCAGTCACACCCCTTCTCCGAGCCTCAGTTTCCTCCTCTGTCAAGTGGGGATAAGAATGGTGCCTATCTGGCAGAGCGGTCATGATGTTCTCCTGAGCTCCCCCGACCCTTCTTGGTCCTGCAGGTGCCAAATTCCCCATCAAGTGGACGGCTCCAGAAGCTGCCCTCTATGGCCGGTTCACCATCAAGTCAGATGTGTGGTCCTTTGGGATCCTGCTGACAGAGCTCACGACAAAGGGACGGGTGCCCTACCCCGGTAAGAGGGCTCCCCACAGCCCATCTTTGGTCCTTCTGCCCCTGCCCTGGTGACCCCTCTGCTCAGGTGACCTTGGGCAAGTCAAACCCCGTCCAGGGCCTCAGTTTCCCCATCTGTATGACAAAGAGGTTGACCATCTGATCTTAGGCTCTGTCTTTGGTGAGGGCTCCCAGCCTTGGGGAGGGCCTTACCCACGGTCACAGCCACCCTCTCCTAGGCAGGAAGCCCTCACTGTTGTTCCTGTCAACTTCCCTCGTCCCCACTTTCCTCAGTGGGGCCAGCCTACTCATGCTTCCCTCTGCCCACAGGGATGGTGAACCGCGAGGTGCTGGACCAGGTGGAGAGGGGCTACCGGATGCCCTGCCCGCCCGAGTGTCCCGAGTCTCTGCATGACCTCATGTGCCAGTGCTGGCGGAAGGACCCAGAGGAGCGGCCCACCTTCGAGTACCTGCAGGCCTTCCTGGAGGACTATTTCACGTCCACCGAGCCCCAGTACCAGCCCGGAGAGAACCTATAGGGCGTGGGCTACGGGGCCAGACTGCCTTCTTGGCTTGGATCCTGAGCTGGGTGGCCCCTGATGTGGGGTCTTGCCTGCCTCTGCCTGTCCGCCCCCCGTTGATCCTCTCTGTGGGGCTGAATTGCCAGTGACGAGGCCCCTCCCTCTTTTGTGGCATGGAAGGGCTTGGGGCCTGGGGCCGCCCTGGGGGCGGGGTCCAAGGCTGGCGCAGTGACTGTGCCCTGGCCCCTGGCCAGCCGCACGCCTCCTGCCTGCGTTCCCTCCTGGAGCTCTGCCCGTCTCAGCAGGAGGAACTGGGAAGAAGGGCTGGGCTGAGGGCACCCTTTTCTTAGCCTCAACCTACTGCACGCACTGGCCCTTTCCCACTTCCACGCCACCCCAGGTCTGTCTGCAGAGCTAGCCAAAGAGCCTTTCCAAAGAGGAGTGATGGGCCACTGGCCCTCGGCCTGCCTGCCACCCTGCTCCTTGCCATCCACTTCTGAAACGCCTGTTGGTGGAGGCTGTTGGGTCCAGCCCCCTCTGCTGTGGCTCCCAGGCTGGTGAGGCCTAGCTTGACTTGATGCTGGTGGGTGGGGTGGACACCTCCCTCAAACCCTGCCCTTCTTAGACCTGAGGGATCCTTAGAGATCTTCAATTCCTTGTCCCCATACTACCCATGGGGAAACTGAGTCCAGAGAGGAGATGTGACTTGCCCAAGGCCACAGAGCAGTTTAGGGTTGAGGTGGGATTGGAACCTGGTGCTCCCTCTGTCTTCCTCAGGAACCAACAGGATTGTCCTTGGAGGCACTGTGGACAGACTGGGGCAGCCCAGGGGACAAGGGGCCTGAGGACGGGTTAGAGATAGCAGAGAGAGTCCTGCTGCCAACTGTTTGCTCAGTGGGCTATTGTGGGGGGAGAGAGTGGAGGTAGATGTGGGGCTGAGCTAGAAATGAAAGGTACAAGGGTAGGGAGGCAGGTTTCAATCAGAAGGTGGGAGGTATTTGACCTTCGGAGCTAGCCAATCATGAAAGGGAGTGAGCTCACCGGCTCTGGAGGCAATCAAGCAGAAATAGAAGATCCACATGATTGGGAGGCCCTGGCCTCAGGAAGGAACCCCAGGTCCTCCTTCCCCTAGTTTGTCCTGTGTCATTTCAACACCTGGCCCCTGCTCTTCTCCCCAAGTTGGCACCTTTAACTCACGAGTACGGAAAGGAGTGCCTAGACTAGGGTGAGGAGAGAGGACTGGGGTGTCTATTGCCACACACCAGGACTGGCTGTGTGCCCTCGGGCAGCCCCTGCTTCCTTCTCTGGGCTGCAGTGTCTGCCTCCATTTGTGGCCATGGCCTCTGCAACTGCTCCACTCCTGTCCAGACCCTGTGGCCTGGCATCACGTGGTGAGCTCAGCCCATGGCATCAGGAGACTGTGTTTCGGCCCTTGGGCTATATGGTGGCTTCTCCCTGGACCTCAGTGTGTCCTTCTTAAATGGGGCAGCCAACAGTTTGTAGGCATCTTGCCAAGGGCCCCTGTGTGCATGTGTGTGTGTGTGTGTGTGTGTGTGTGTGTGTGTGCGCGCGCGCGCACGTGTATGTTCCTCCATGTGTGTTCATATTTAACATGTAAAAATGCCCTCTGCTCTGTCCCCCAGACCTGTTGTACATTTCACCCACAGCCCCCCGCGTCATAGCAATAACGTTCCTGCTGCCAGGGGTTCTCGAGCCAACCAGGCCCTGCCAGTGGGGAGGGAGGCCAAGTGGTGCCTGCCTATGAAATTTCAACTTTTCCTTTCATACATGTTTATTACCCAAGTCTTCTCCTGTCCTGTCTCCGTCCCAGTCGAATCTGGACTCACTCACCCCAGCGCGCTCCCAAATCCCCTTCTGACTGCCCAGTGTCCTTTGTATAAGGTGTCCTAATGCTGTCTTTTTTTTTTTTTAAACAAACAGTGTTTTGTAGATTTCAGATGACTATGCAGAGGCCTAGGGGACCCCCGGCTCTGGGCAGGGCCTGGGGTTCCTGCGTTCCACGGCCGAGGCCTATGGGGGGAGGGGGGATTTGGAATTGGTTGTAAATACTTTGCATATTGTCTGATTAAACACAAACAGACCTCAGTTTGGTCAGCGGTTTCTTGAGTATCTATTGTGTGCTGGAGAGTGAGAGGGAGTGCGATGTGAGGACAGACTGTGTCAGAGGGGCCTTTGTGCAGGCAGCATTGGTGGCTGAAGGGCTTGAGGCCAGAGAGGGACATAATCAGATTGGAGATCTCTGGAATGCGGCTGTGTGTGCACATCCATCCCTGAGTTTGGGGAGTGACTGTGCCTGGCAGAAGCCTTGCTTGTGTCTGAGATGCACCAGGCGAAGCCCAGGGCTTGTGAGCAGGAAGTGTAAGCGGTTGAAGACTCTTTGCCCTGGGTGGATGGTGGCGGTTGACACTCTGGGGGCCCCGCAGGGCTGTCAGGCCCCTGTGGAGTTGTGGATGTCCTCACAGGGAGATGTGGCTGTGTGCATACTGTGTGTTTCCCGGGAGTGCTGGGCTGGGTGGGTCGGGGGTTGGTGAGACTGGGTTAGCAAAAGCCCCGGGCACCCTGGAGAAAAATCCAAAGGCCCTTCCTCCCCTCCCTTCTCGCCTCCACCAAGGCACACAATCTGGGAAGTTCATTTGCAACAGTCTATAGGAAGAAATTTCTTTTATATCAGATCACACACCGATCCATGTAAGTTACCTCTGGTCGTAGTAACACTGTTTAATCTGTATAATTAAAAACAGATTTCAAAATCAGGATGTTTCTCTGTTCACTGTTTTCACAAGCCAAATACCACAATGTCCGGTCAGAATGGACACCTGGAGACCCCATGGGTGTACATGTGTCTTGGGAACAGAGGTAGGAGCATGGGTGTGAGTGTGCGCTTGTGGGTGTGTGCCTTTGTGTTCACTGGGGTATGCGTGTGGCCCTGTTTGCTCATGGGTGTCTCTGTTGGTGTGTGGACACGTGTCCAGGTGGCCTGTGAGTCTGGATGTCCAGATGTGTGAACCTGTTTTTCCTGGCCCTGTGTGCAGAGATTTGTGTGTACTGCGGGGACACCACTCTAGGTGGTTCTGCCTGAATCTGTGGGCTCCCCCGGGGGCGCGGGCCCCGATGTGTGTGGCGGGGCTCTGCTTGTCTGCGCGGGGCAGTGTCTGTGTCCGCGTGGATGCTTGTGGGCTCAGGGCGTGCACGGGGCGCCGGCCGCTCCGCCAGGGCCCGCATGCACCGGGGGGCGCAAGGACACCTGCGAGCAGCCCAGCCGGGGGACCCGGCCCCGGCGGGGACAAAGCGCTCGTCCGCGCTACCGCGGCGGGTCGGGAGTGCGCCTGCGCGGTGGTGAGCCGCGGCTCGAGCCGGGATAGAAGCCCCGAGACCCCTTTATCTCCATCTCTCGCCGGTCTCACCAAGTGATTCAATGCGTGTGTCTCTCTCTCTGCCTCCTCCGTCTTTGTCTCTCTTTGTCTGTCTGTGGCTCTTCAGCTCTCTTTCTGGCTCTCTGGCCCTGGCTCTCTTGTCTTCACAATTGTCTGTGTTTCTTTCCTCTTCCCTAAACCCCCTCCCCCCGCACTAATTGGTCTTTCTCTGTGTGCTTCTGATTTTCTATCTCCGTTTCTGTATGTGTCTGTTTCTCACTGTTGCTAGTTTCTCTTTTTCTCTGTGCCTCGTGGCCGTCTCTATTTCTCTAGTCTCTCCCTCTGTGTCTCCGTCTCAGATTTTATTTCCTTTTCAATCTCTGTGCGGCTCTGGCTCTCCTCCAGACCCTCTCACACCTCCATGCCTTTGCCCAGGCTGTTTCCGCGACTTAGAGCGCCCTTTCTTTCCTCTCTGCAACCTGGCAAACTCCTCTTCATCCTTCAAAACATCTCAAAGGCCACAGACCACCTCTGGGAGCTTTCCCTGACCCCCTGGAACTTGCAAGGGTGGTCACGGCCATTCACACAGCTCCCCCCCCCCCCTAGAATGAGAGCTTGAGGGGCTGGGGAAATTCTGGCCGATGCACCCAGATCTAGCACACCGGGGTGCTGTCTGATCAGAGAAGGGAGGCAGGAGTTTGCTCTGTCTCTCCCACCTATTGTCTCTGGCTCCACTAGTTTTGACTTCTGTCTCTCCCCCCTATTGTCTCTGGCTCCACTAGTTTTGACTTCCCCCCTCTGGGCCTCTGTTCAGTTTGCTTTTTTTTTTTTTTTATTTAGATGTTGGGGGCAGGAGTTTATTAATTAATTTGTTTATTCTCGACTGTGTTGGGTCTTCGTTTCTGTGCGAGGACTTTCTCTAGTTGCGGCGAGCGGGGGCCACTCTTCATCGTAGTGCGCGGGCCTCTCACTATCACGGCCTCTCTTATTGCGGAGCCCAGGATCCAGACGCGCAGGCTCAGTAATTGTGGCTCACGGGCTTAGTTGCTCCGCGGCATGAGGGATCCTCCCAGACCGGGGCTCGAACCCGTGTGCCCTGCATTGGCAGGCAGATTCTCAACCACTGCGCCACCAGGGAAGCTCTGTTCAGTTTGCTTTTGCTCGACTCTTCAAGAGAAAGAGCGAAAAGGCGAGTGACGTCTACTCTGCTGGGACCACCATCTCACTGCCCCCTCTGCCTGCTCCTGCTTCTGCTGCCCTGTTCAGTTTCCAGCCCACTTCAGGGGATTGGAGACCCTGGGACCCCCTCGTCCCCTCCGCCTTCCCTTCCTGGTTTCAGTGGTTTTTCTTATTCTACATGCATTTTTGTTTTTCTTTTTGAGGAAAGTAAGATGATGTTTGCCCCCCCATGGGAAAAAAATTCCTTATAGTAGGGTAGGAAAGATACAGAAAAGCACATACAAGAAGACGGTAACTTGTGTTCTCTACCCCCTCCCTCCCACCTAGAAAGGATGGGGCATGTTTCTGGGTGTGTGTCCATCTGGGCCTGTCGCCTGTCCTCTGCACAGTGGCTTCAGTGTCTCTTTGTCTCTCTCTCTCTCTCTCTGAGTGTGTCTCTCTGTCTCTCCATCCTCTGGCCCATAGTTACTGGCTGCTACTCTGGGTTGCTGGCCTATCAATTCTTTCAGATATTCATATGTAAAACTTATATTA